GGAGGGTCCCCAGTACAGGAAATGTAACCAACTCCTTGATATCTCATTGGGAGAGTTTAGTAAAGACTTTTACTTATTTACTTGTTTATCTTTTATTTTATTTTAGTTTAGTTTAGTTTAGTTTTACTATTAGGCATGTGCACTCTCTAAAGAGACAGACAGAGAGAGAGGGAAAGGGAGAAATCACTTGCACCCTTGGCCATGTGGGACCCAGCTGCCCTAACTGCCATACCGTCAGCTGGTCCAACTTCTTTCTCGTTTTCTTTAGGGATTTTTGCCATAGGGCATGTACATTCACCAGAGAAACAGAGAGACACAGTGAGAGGAAAATGAGAAATCACCTCCTCGGGGGGATGGCAACACCACAATCCCTTGTCTTTCATTCTCCTCCTGGGATTTCGGACAGTCATGTACATGCACCCGGTGTGATTTTTAAGCCACTGGGTCCAAGACTTGAACTGCATTTGGCCATTTGAGTATCCAGCGATGTAACCACTAGGCCATCTGCCGGCCCCTCTGAGTATTAAGCTTTATGCCTTAGCCTGCATGGGAAGACTGAAGCATGGTATAGTATGTATCTTTGTGTGGATGTGTGTGTGCACATAATAATACATTAGCTGAGTGTGCTCACACTTCTCCTTATAATGACTATATATTTTGACTAGTTAAGAGGCAATGCAAGGGCCAGCAGGGGGCATGGTGGTTAAAGTCATGGATTCCCAAATGGTTAACCATGGTTTGAATCCTGAACCTGGTGACTCGAAGATCTTTCTGGGTGTGCTTGTATGCATCTTCAAAAGGAGAATGGAGAAAGGATTTGGGTGTGGCCATCCCCCTGGGAGGTGATTTCTCACTTTTCTGCTCACTGTCTCTCTATCATGAGTGCACACACCCTATGGTAAATACCTTAAAAAAATGGCAAGAGGTTTATAGGATGGGAGAAAGGAAAGTTCAAAGCACGAAATACATACATTCAGGGAGAAGGCAGACACTGGTAGCTTCTTTTCTCCTTCTCATGGCCTGGTGGGAACAAAAACATTCCCGTAGCTATGGGAGAACCCTCAAATATTATACCTAGTCTTCTGCCTTCCCCAGGAATAGCCCACAGAGAGACTGAAAGCTTCCCAAATCATTTGCTTCAAAGTCCAGGTTCCGATGCTGTTTAGTCCTGCCGATCCCCGATATGAAATGTTGGTTCTTTTGTAGACTGGCGGAAGGAGCAGTTCCAGGCCTGTGAGTGACTCGTGTCCTTTCTGGGTGCTCCCCCTCCTGCCCTCATGGTTCCTGGCTTTTCCTTCTGTTCTCTGTGGTGATATAGGTGCTCGAACCATCTTCGATGGTAGGTAGGAACCATCCATTCAGAATAGGATGTGCATAAAGACGAGAACGACAGTCACATGGTGGGCTGGTGGGTATGGCTAATGTCAGACGGTAAATAGCTGTCCTTCAGCTCCCGTGCTGTCCTCAAGGCTCTGTGACATAGTTAACTCCTAAATCAGTCCCTTGGTTCCTTCTGCTTGGAAGGCCATCGACTTGAATCACAAGAACCACAAGGCTCCTTTCTCAGGGGCTCAGGGCTCTGCTATGTAGCTAATGGCTCTGAGGGAGGTGGTGGCTCTATGTCCTTGTTATAGGGTGAGAGAGGGTCTTGCATAACTCTTGGTCACTCTTTCTGCAGTGGCTGTCACTCTGGATCCACATGAAGCTAATTCCAAACTTGCTGTCTCTCAGGACAGGAAAAGTGTGACCTGGAAGGAGACCCGTGTGGACTTAGAGCGTTACTGTGGCGTGTGGGGCTATGAGGCTATCACATCGGGGCGCTGTTACTGGGAGGTGGAGATCAGGGATACAGACCACACTGAGTGGGGTCTGGGGGTCTATGTGGAAGATGGGGAAGATCAGCCAAACAGTTCTGGGCTCACTAAGTACTGGGTTGTGCGGAGGCATAGAAGTAGATATTATGCCCGCACTAAACCAGTATCCTGGCTGTCCCTTAGGCAGCCTCTCCACAGGGGTTCGTGGACTACAGTGAGGGGGATGTCTCCTTCTATAACATGATTGATGGATCCCACATTTTCCCTTTCCCTCCGGCTTCCTTCTCTCGCAAACTTTTTCCATACTTTGCGCTTTGTTCAGGAGATGTGACCCTGACAATCCGCTCCTTGGTGCATGGTCCTGAGAGGTTCCATGTGCCTCTTAACAATTCTTCTTCTTTGAAGGAGCCCACAAGTCCTCCAGGAGCACTCACACCCTTGCTTGGCACAGACTAAAGGACCAAATTGCCATCACTCCCCTGAAACTTTAAGGCTGACATGTCCACAGGGCCCCACCCCTGTCCCTGAGCCCTCCCTGCTGCTCCTCCTGAGGTCGCAGACTCCTGTGGGAAGAGCCTCTGAGATGAGTCCTGATGACCCGGCAGCCCTGACCCCGTCTCTGGATGCAGCCTCCTGGGGTGTGGGTGTGAGGACATCAGGTCATGCCTGTGCTCAGGAAGCAGAAGAAGCTGACCATGGGGCAGTCACAGTGGGCTGTGCTGCCAGGATGCTGTGCTCTGAGGGCCGGGACACACGGGAGGCCCCGGTGTGACTATGGTCTAACCTGAAGGCCGGATGTGGTGGTGCTTGCCTGTAACCCCAGAGACTCGGGAGGCTGAGGAAGGAGGATCATGCCAGTGAGACCCTGTCTTATTAAAAAAAAAAAAAAAAAAAAAAGAGAGAGAGAGAGAAAAGAAAAGAAAAAAAGATTGCTGTTTAAATTGGTTGGGGGAAGTCTGAATTTAACTATGGCAAGTTATTTTTCTTTTGGTAGTCAAGACTATTTCATGGGATTTTTATATTATTTGCATATGAAAGGGACTTAGGACTGCATCATTCTGCAGAACAGAGGGAGGACTATTTTATACCACTTAAATTTGTGTAGACAGAGGAACCCAGAGGTTGAGGGTAGGCCCCAGATCTATTATGGAGCTGGTTGTTCAAAAATTTCCAGAGAGGGATTCTGGACCACATCGGGTCTGCTTGTTGGTCTCTGCGATCTGAAAGTTGACAACTTCTTTGCATCCGGGAGGCTGCTCCTGGCGACACTGCAATTGTCACCATGCCACAAAACAAATATATTGAATTACATCGTAAACGCTATGGATACTGTTTGGATTACCATGAGAAAAAGAGAAAGAAGGAAAGTTGGGAGGCTCATGAACGTTCAAAGAAGGCAAAAAAGATGATTGGTCTGAAGGCTAAGCTCTGTCATCAACAGTGCCACACTGAGAAAATGCAAATGAAAAAGACTATCAA